CCAGAATCACGAGGAGAAAGAGTTTCAGGGAGAGGTAGCAATCAAGTAACCAAAGCTTACTGAGAAGTTGGTTAGGATGAAGACTGAGAACTGACCCTTAGATTTTACAGCATGGTGGTTGTTGGTGACCTTGACAAAAACTGATCCAGTGGAGTGGGGCAGGGGAACTTAGACTTGTGGAGAGCTGGAGCTGGTTAGAGTGGCTTAAGGGATAATTGGAGGTGAGAAACCTCCTCTCTCAAGGAGTTTTGTTATAAAGTGGAACAGAAAAATGGGGCCACACAGGATTCTAGCATGATCTTACAGCCTGCTTGTTTACAGAGGGGAACGATCCAGTTGGGAGGAAGAGACTGTTGAGCAGGAGAGGGCGAGATAATTTCTGGTGCTAAGTCCTTGACTCGGTGAGAGGGATGAGATCCACTGCAAAAGTAAAGAGAGCAGGAGGGACGCCGAGAGTATGGGATCGGGCGCAACTGGTTAATAGATGGGGTGGTTGGAAACTCATTCATTCAGCAAATACTGGCCTGCTGTGTGCCAGATGCTATCCTAGGGGCAAGACATACAGCAGTGAATGAAACAGATAAGGCAAAGCTCATGCCCTCGTGGAGTTTATACTCTATTGAGGGGAGTTGAGCAATAAATATGCTAACAGATGAATTTATAATATGTGAGATAGAAGGTAAGCGCTATGGAGAACAGTGAGCTAGGGTACGGGGGATATGCAGAGCTGGAGGACGGGCCACCATTTTTAATAGGGTGGTCAGAGACGACCTTTATGGTCAGGAGAAGACATTTGGGAGCAGACCTAAAGGGAGCGAGGGAGGAAGTCTAGTAGATATCTTCAGGAAGATGGTTCCAAGCAGAGGGAACAAAATGTGCCAAATTCCTGAGGCAGGAGCGTGCTTGGCATAATTTGAGGAACCGCAGGGAGGCCAGTGTAGCTGCACAAAATGATCAAAGTAGGGGAGTTGCGGGAGACAAGGCAGGGAAGCAGTGGGCAGACAGTCCCAGATGGCCCGGAAGGTAGAGATGTGAGCTTTTACTCTGAGTCAGATGGGAAGTCCCTGGTGAGTTTTGAGCAGACATGTGACGTGATCTGACTTAATTTTTCAAAGATGCTTCAGCTGCTGTGAGGAATGGCCTCTGGGGTCAAGGATAGAAGTTTGGCCACCACGTAGAAGGCTATTGCAGTAATCCACACCAGCGATGATGTTGTTCTCCTATTGCTTCTGTTTTCTCAGTGAAATCAGAGGCAAGATCTGCCTAGGCGAGTGAGGAGGGTATGAGAGACCCTTGAGGAGAGAAGAGAAGCTGTGATCATTGTGGGTGGTGAATTGATTAAGGAACTGTGGTAGGATTGCTACCCAAACAGCTGGCAGTCACAAGCAGTTTGCCAAGTGCTTACTGACCTCAACCTCTGGGACTTCTCTGGCTGTGCGTGTTTATTTGTTTGTTTGTTTTAATCGAAGTATAATTGATTTACAGTGTTGTACCAGTCTCTGCTGTACGGCAAAGTGACTCAGTTTTACACATGTAGACATTCTTTATTTAATATTCTTTTCCGTTATGGTTTATCCCAGGAGACTGGATATAGTTCCCTGTGCTATGGCTGTGCATCCTTCTTCCTTGTGTCCGCTTTCTCTCCCATCATCCTGCTTCTTGTCCTCTGACTCTAGTTGGCCTCCAGTTGGCCTGGAGAACCCACGCATTTATTGAGAACAAAATGACAACCCACTGGCCCTTCTAGCTTCTGATATCAAAGCTGTTAGAAGGATTTGAGGGAGACTCTCCGCGTACTCAGTTCTTCTTGAGAGACTGTTATACACCCAACTATCACTCCACCGCCTTACCCTACAGCAGTCAGTGAGGGAGGCCCAGAGAGTTCCCATGCTTTTATTAAGACTCCGCTCTCCTACCTGCGATACAGATTTGAGGGAGACGCACAAGGTTCTTCATGCTTCTAGTAAGGCCACCACTCCCTGCCTCTGTGACAGTGCTCACCACTGCTCACTGCCCTGTCTAACAGGGCAGTCCCAACAAGCAGCTCATAATTAGAACTGATGACCCACTTTTCCTAAAATGATGAGTAGCTCTCATCTCATCTTGACCCACATCCCGCTTTAACTTGGTCACCATGACAATTCCAAGACTCTAAGGTCTTCTTGAAGATAGCATATGTAAGGGCCATGTGGAAATGGCTTATACCACTTCTGTCTACATCCCATTAGACAGGATATAGGTCAATGGGTGCAGCTTACATACAAAGGAGACTGCGAACGTGTGACTAAGGAAGAGGAAAATGAAACGGCATTTGATGAACACAGACATTGTCTCTGGGGTGACACAAAGATCAAGGGGGAAGACATTTTCTCCCCCCTTGATCTTTACTGATCAATACTGCCGTGCTACAGAAAGGTCAGGTAAGATACGGAAATAAAAGGTCTGAGTTTTCAGTTAGGAAGTCCCTGGTCACATTTTAAAAGGTTGTTTCTGTGAAGTTATGGTGAAGTGAAAGAATGGGAGGTGAAGAAATGGACGCAGAGAGTATAAACTATTCTGTAGGAGAGTCTAGTTCTATAAAATTATACAAAGGGTGAAGTAAGTAGAAAAGAGTGCCTAACTGTGGGAGAATTGATGTTTCCAAGCTAATAAAATAGTAGTGAAGGAGAAATCTGAGATAATAGAAAGGGGATCATTCATGGAGGAAATCTAGAAGAAGCCAGGAAAGGATGAGATGGGGGCAGATGGAAGTATTAGTCTTACACAGGAGGAATGACATGGCTTCTTTTAAGATGTGTGGGAGGGGGGCTTCCCTGGTGGCGCAGTGGTTAAGAATCCGCCTGCCAGTGCAGGGGACACGGGTTCAAGCCCTGGTCCGGGAAGATCCCATATGCTGTGGCGCAACTAAGCCCGTGTGCCACAACTACTGAAGCCCACGCGCCTAGAGCCCGTGCTCCGCAACAAGAGAAGCCACCGCAATGAGAAGCCTGCACACCGCAACGAAAGAGTAGCTCCCACTCATTGCAACTAGAGAAAGCCCGCGTGCAGCAGCAAAGACCCAAGGCAGCCAAAAATAAATTTAAAAAAAAAAGATGTGTGGGAGGGTAGAAAGGGCAGGAGTTGAAGAAAAGTCTATAAGTGAGGAACAGGAAGTGGAGGGAGTTCACATCTAATGGTATTTATTTTTGCAAAGGAGTTATTATGAGGCACTGATGAGCTAGTTTTGGGGCAGGAGGCAGGATTTAAGATAGGTGCCATGTGGAAGATGGGCTGAGCACAGAGAGTATAGTACAGTAGTTAGGGCTCAGCTGAGGTTGGAGATCCCTTAGTGTAATGACACCAATATGCACCATTTTGAGTTTTTCTCCACCAACACACAACTCTCAAGGACAGGCAGAGCTTTGAACTGATCCAGGATCAAGGTCAAAGAAGGAAGGGTTTTTGTTTTTTGTGGTTTTTAAATTAATTAATTAGGCTGTGTTGGGTCGTAGTTGCAGCATGCAAGACCTTCGTTGTGGCGTTGCTTGCAGCGCGAGGGCTCTTTGTTGTGGCACGCCGGCTTCTCTCTAGTTGTGGCAGAGAGCGCGCAGGCTCTCTGGTTGTGGCACACGGGTTTAGTTGCCCCGCGGCATGTGGGACTAGGGATCAACCCTGCGTCCCCTGCATTGGAAGGCGGATTCTTAACCACTGGACCACCGGGGAAGTCCCAAGGAAGGGCTTTTGCATGAAGCTGAGAGAGTAATAGTCTAAGTAGCTGTGAGGAGCTAGAAAAATGTAGGCCCCTTCTTTTTACTTCATCTTCTTCCACCTAGTTTAGACCTTTATCATCCTGTTTGGATTATAGAAATACCCTCCGAATTGGTTTCCCTGATTTTAGTCTCTTCTCCCTGTATCCATCGTACACATGGCTGCCAGCTTAATTAATCTTATAGAGCAACCTTGACCATGTTTCAGTCTTGCTCAAAAACTTCAGTAGCTCCCTACCTCCCTACAGAATTAAATTCATGTTCCTTAGCTCCACCCTCAAGGTTCCAGGCACGGAGCTGGTTTCAATTTACTGCTTTGTTTTATGCATCTAGTTTTATACACAAAGTATTTGGCTGGTATTGGGTGAAACTCTATACTACTTTACTAGCACTAATCTTGGAGGACTTTCCCCAATGTGGTTTTGTTAACTGTTGGGAAAGTTTTTCCCACCCATCTCAGAGTGTCCTTCAAGGTGTCTTTCAAGGGCTAATTCAAAGGCAGATTCTCTCCTGTGTCACATGATATGTCTCTTCTTTGTCCTCCTTTTTGAAAAAAATTCATTTTAAGCTTTATATTCTAGATAGTCATGTACCTGTTAAGCCAGGACCGTGCCTAATTTATCATTGCACCGCAGTCCATTGTAGCCCCAGCTCATAACACCTAGCTCAGTATCTTGCTTTTTGTAGGTATCCAAAGTCAGCTGACTAAAGGCACGCATGCATTCATGAATAAATGAGTGAAGGCATGAGTAGAACCCTTATAATGGTCTAGTAGGGTTAAGAACCAGAATCCTTCACTAGAAGGTCATCTCCTCAAGGTGTAGGGTTGATATTATAATTTTTATCTTTAGTACTTAGCACTGTTCTGGGAGAGTACTGTGAGCTAAGTAAATGGCAGATACCCAGTAAAATCTTGGCAAACAATTGAATTAGGTGGTTCCATACCCTAGTCATTCTCAGTGTGTCAACCTCAGGTGCTCTAGAGAGTTAACAGGGCCTCTGACACAGCAAATAGTTGGTTATATCCTGATTTGATTATCGTGACTAATGCTCTTATAACTGGACGGCAACTCACTTAACAGAGACCCAGTTATTCATTAAAGTCCTTGATTCACTGAATCCTACAATCAGTTATGATTGATCTCTGTGTGATAATTTTATTCTAGACACTGAAGAAAAAAAAAAGCAATCTGTGAGAAAAGCAGACATCTCGCGTTTATAAAGTAACCTTCCCCTTTTCTCCTGTTTGGCCAGGCTGTGACAACATGCTGATGGGCATAAAGTCTCTGAAAATAGTGAAGAAGACAATGGACACAGATGGCTCTTGGATGAAAGATGCTGTCAGAGACTCTCCAAAAGTTTATCTCTTAATTGGATCCAGAAACAACACTGTCTGGGAATTTGCCAGCATACGGGCATTCATGGAAGATAGCACCAAGCCAGCCCCCCGGAAGGTGATCCTAACACATTCCTGGCAGGGGACAGGCCAAGTGATCTACAAAGGTTTCCTATTTTTTCACAGCCAAGGAACTCCCAATGAGATCATCAAATATAACCTGCAGAAGAGGACCGTGGAAGACCGAATGCTGCTCTTGGGAGGGGCAGGCAGAGCCCTGGCCTACCCGCGCTCCCCCTCGACATACGTTGACCTGGCTGCGGATGAGCACGGGCTCTGGGCCATCCACTCAGGGCCAAGCACCCACGGCCATTTGGTTCTCACGAAAATTGAGCCTGACACACTGGGAGTGGAACACTCATGGGACACTCCATGCAGAAGTCAGGATGCTGAAGCCTCATTCCTCTTGTGTGGCGTCCTCTACGTGGTTTACAGTTCTGGTGGCCTCGGCCCGCATCGCATCACTTGTGTCTATGATCCGCTGGGCACTGTCATTGAGGAGGATCTGCCCAACGTGTTCTTCCCCCGGCGGTCAAGGAGTCACTCCATGATCCATTACAACCCTAGAGATAAGCAGCTCTATGCCTGGAATGATGGAAACCAGATCATTTACAAACTCCAGACAAAGAGAAAGCAGCCTCTGCAGTGATGCGTTGCAGCCACGAGGGAGAGCGCCAGGGATGCTGCTCTCCAGGAGACGGAAGCCACAGCCCCTTTGCAATACAGAATCCCTCTAATCGCACACAGGGATAGGGGCTGGAAGTGGGAATGCGCACGCGTCCTTTTCCAGATGGTACTGCCTTCAGTATCTTGCAAGAGCATAGATGAGAGTCTGTCATTCAGGAATTTTCAACAACTTCCATTACCCATCCAAACCTCCTGGAGCTCAAGGCCTTCCACATTCAGATCCAGTTTACTTCCAGCCTTTTCTTTTACTAGCATTTACTCTAACTCTCCCCGCCCCCGCCCCCCAGCCATTAGAAATGTAAGCCACCCCCTAATACTCCTGGCTTCTCTCCCCTCTGGCCTTTGCCCAAATCTCTTTCCTCTTTCACAAATGCCTACTGATATTCTTCCATTATTCACTGCCCAAATAAAGTACTATTTCTTATTGATGTTTAATCTCGGTTTCCCCTGGTTCTGCCCCTTCACCAAGCCAGGTGGATGTCATAATAAAGTGAAAACATTACCATTTGAATACCAGTTTCCAGTTACAAAGTGTCTGCACCCATGTTACAAGTCGTCTCACTCTTATGAGATAGTCAGGACAAGTCTTTATAGAGGAGGAGGGTTCAGGTGGGCCATTCAAAGTACCAAAGCTACAAAATGGAAGAGCTAGAAAATACTGCAAACCCTATAATCTTTCCATTGTCCAAGGAAGCATCAAATATATATGTTGGTTCGCCCAACCTTCCCTAAGCAATACGTTAAACGGTTTGCCCCTTTAGCTAGTTGCATGTCCACACAAGAGCCTCCTATAGGCCTTTCAAAAGCTACTTCCTCTAGAAAACCAGCCTAAGGGTGAGGACCCCACCTCTGTTCTTATCTTGCCTTTCCTTCCCTTGCTTTTCTCATCTTGCTTGAAATACAATAAAACTGACACTAAGCAACTAACCCTCATCAGGCTCTATTTGCCTACATGCCCTCCGCATAAAAGTTCCTGGGGGTGCTGCCTGTGCCTGGGTTTACTGTGAACAATCCCCAACACACTGAGGCCCTCGGTAAATATTCTAGCATCTGGATGGAAGCCAGATAGCAGGCAAGGGACTCCCTGCCACAGCAAGAGTGCCTTGTGGCACAGGGGACAGAGGGCAGCTGTGCCCATCCAGAGGGGCTTCTTCAAGCTCTTTCCCACGCGTTTGTCCACTGCAGCCTGGTTTGGGTCACAAGTGCAGGCTGTGGTACCAGTCTGTGTCATGTGCTGAGGCCTCTATCTTTCCAGGCTGGTCACATGAGAGGGTTTGCTCTGTGTGTTTGCAGCTGTTTCCCCTCCTCTGCCAAGCCCAGGCTGAGACCGTAGGCAGTGAAGAGAGGTTTTTTGTTTTTTTTCCCCCATAGCATTTGAGTAAAGCTTTGGCAGAATGGAATTACTCACTCCATGGACACAGTGCAATTACCCACAGTTCTAACAGAGTTTTACAGAGAGCCCAAATCTGTTGTGGAATGAGGCAGGTATGAATAATTAAACATGGTGATATTACCCACTCCATGGGTTTGGGGACATTAGCTGCCCCATGGGTAAAATAACATTACCTATTTCACAGGGAAAAGGAATGCGGGCTGCCTCACAGAGGAGGGTAGCAGGGGAATTATCTTGGAGTGGAATTATGTGTAAGTCATGCACACACAGTTCCTCTGGAGGCATACAGAGGCTGCCTGTAATGTGCTTGCTATCTGCCTTTCATCTGTGATATGCTTTGCTTTGACAGTTCTGCAAGGCACACCTGCCACTAACAACCAACCCACTCTGGTGCCTTAGATTCCTGCAGCTAGAATCACTTCTTCAGGTCAAGACATTTTCTCCAGGAAGCCCCTGTTAACGGGCCACTTTGTTTCCTGGGAGCCAGGGCTGAACATGCAGGCCCTCAAATACTTCTTGGGCTTCTTTCAGATGACCTTTTCAGCTCTGGCTCTCTTCTTGGATTTTAGTGAGGATTGAAGTTCCTAAGACCTAGACCAGTGGTTCTTAAACTTGACTGCACCTAGGAATCACCTGAGGAGCTTTTAAAAATCCTGATGCCAGGCCATACCCCCAGACCATTCAGTCAGAGCCTCTGGAGGTGGGACCAGACAGGACTATAACTTTCAAGCCCCCTTCCCTAAAGTGGTTCCGAAGTATGAATAAGCTGGAAAGCCAGTGACTTGCACCATTTTTAAAAAATTGAGGTATAGTTGATTTACAATGTTGTATTAGTTGCAGGTGTACAGCAAAGTGATGCATTTATATATGCGTATATATTTTCTTTTTCAGTTTTTTTTTATTATGTTATTACAAGATATTGAATATAGTTCCCTGTGCTATACAGTAGATCCTTGTTGTTTATCTGTTTTATATAGTGTGTATCTGCTAATCCCAAACTCCTACTTTATCCCTCACCCCCCTTCCCCTTTCAGTAACCATAAGTTTGTTTTCAATGTCTGTGACTTAACGCCATTTTTTAAAAGTGAGTTTTAAAAAGTAATTGTATAGTTCTAAAGAACAGACTAGCATTTTCTGGGGACTGTGGGTCCACGAGGGCAATAACATGTGGGATTTGGAAACACCCATGAACTCGTGTGAACTGTGGCAGCCTTCTCTACAAAAGCCTCTGGGCTGCTATTTTAAGGAAGTGAAAGAGAACTAAAGAGTGTCCTGTTGTAATACAACTCTTGTGGGCCCCAGCCTTCGTCTGCTGGCTTTGCCCTTGGCCTGCATCTGGCCAGGTTCCTGCAGTGACCAGAGTCTCATATTTGCCAGGGTGGCTTAAGTTTTGTTCACATGTACAAGTCTTCTGGGCACACTGGTAATTTCAGACCACCAGGGTAGTGTGAAAAAATATGTGTCTTGAGGAGTTTGTCAATACTCCAGCCTGTAGAAGTGTGGATAAAAATTGAGGTTAGAGCAGTAGTGACTCCTGCCTGAGCTGGGGACTATGCCAGAGTCCCTGGTGTGATGCCATCTGAGGCCCACAGGGATTTTCATCAGCCGAACTGAGCAACCAATTCTTGGAGATCCAGGCAGGGCAACAACCTAGCAGTACAACCAAAGGGGATCCAGGCCCTACACTGGGGGCAGGCAGGCACTGGACTAGGTCCCCAGGGTCCCGTGCTGCCCCGATTCTACAATCCATTCCTGTGGTCAGACATCGCCAAAGCTTTTCTTGCGCCTGTGGAACCTCGTCTAAGCGCTGGGCACAGGGCAGCGCTGCTTGTCCCCAGCTGTCCACAAGAATGGGTGTCAGTGACTGGCGCCAACCACTAGAGGGACCTCCATCCCAGGTTGCGGGGTTCAAGTGCGGCCAGACCCTAGGGTAACTCAGTCTTCCGAACTGGGGGCGCTCAGAGACAAGAAATGAGGCTGCTGTCAGGCCAACCTCAATTTGAACGCGATCCCAGGGGCTCAGAAGTCCGCACACCCAAAAGGTTGCTGCGCTGGGAGCACCTCTAAAACGTTTTTTCTATGGCTTCTGTCTCTTCGCAATTCTCGACACAAGTTCCCTTTCTGCTTTTCTCGTTCATTCCCTACGGCCAAGGAGCGGTGCTGAAGGGCTGGACAAGCCCGGGGACAGGGAGCTGAGAACCGCCGGGCGACTCCCCGGGGCCGGAAGGGTGCTGGAGGGGGAGGTGACCAAGAGCGGAGCGGGGCTCCAGGGAGGGACGTGGCCTCCTGAGAGAGGCGGGGCTTGGGGGGGGGAACGGTAAGCTCGGCCTAGGGGGCGGCGCCGGAGCTGGGGCTGGATGGGCGGGGGCTAAGCAGGTTCGAAGGCGCCGGGTTGATGAGGCCGGTCCTTGCGGAGCCAGAACCCTTGGCGGATGGGTCCCTGCGGGCAGCCAAGGAGCCAAAAGGGAGGGGGCGTGGCAGAGGGGCGGTCCCGGGGGAAGGTGGGGCGGTGGGGAAGCGGGCGCTGCGGGACGAGCCTCCCGCGGGTCCCCGCCCCCGTCACGTGGGCTCCAGACCCGGCCGCTGCCGGTCGGTCCGCTGGTTGGTCGGTTAGTTGGTCGGTGGGTCGGTGGCCTAGAGCTCGGTTCTCGGCTCTCATGTTCGGAGGTGGGAGGGACACGGGAAACGCCCGCACACCTGAGCTGCCCGGAGAGGATCCCCGCACCCAGGTCAGTGGGTTCTCCCCACGCCCCCAGGCCCTCTGCGCGGTCGGGACTGCGAGCCCGCGTAGGGGCATTGCCTGAGGAACTGAGAGCACTGGAGTGTGTCCCAGGCGCGAGGGCGGGGACCCTCCTCCCCTTCTCTGGCCAGAAGACTGGGAGGAGGGTATAACTCCTGTGGATTTGCTCCGAATCTCCGCCCAGTCCTGTCCGGGGTCTACGGACAGTCCGCGCCCCTACAGGTGCCCGGATGGCCCTGGAGATGCGCAGGGTGGCAGGTCACCTCAGTTCTATGTAGTATGTCAGAGCTCTGCTAAGTCAACTGGAGCAGCGGCCCAGTCTGGAGAGAGAGCCCAAGGTGGTAGGGAAGCTCACGGTCTATTTGCCCGAGCAAATGGGTGTTCCGCAGAGCGTGTGTTCAGCTGCAACGCCTTAGCTGAAACCAGCTATATACTGTAATTGCAAAAATGCAACATGCTTTTCCAAATCTCAAGCCACTGCGTCCCAGTAGTTCTGTTTGAAAGTGGGCTTCTCTCCCTCATGACATCCTGACTCCAGATCTGCAGTTGTTCCTCAGTTGAAAATAAGATTATGTATTTAAAGACCAGAACTTCCGAAGTTTGCTTAAGATCAAAACGGGCGTTCTGGCCAGCATTTAATCCGCTTACAAAACAGATCCAGAGTATTATATTTTTACTTTTAGAGCAGCTGGATATTTGGTATAGATCCGTCTCCCTTTCCATATTTTGGTTTACTTCCTGTCTCTCTCCTTCCTCTCCCAGTTCCTTAATCGATTATAATACAAATTTTATGTTGCATTCTGTGAAGTTGAATGCCCAACAAAGGTAGTTGGCTGTACACAAAATTCATCTTCAGCATATTGTCTTTGATTATTATTTGTGTCATATGAAAAACACAAAATATTTGATTTAGAGATTATTTCTCCTTGGGGCTTGAGAGGCAGCCTGTTTGTAATCTGCTTAAATTCATATATAAACGACTTTGAAGTGGGAGAGCAGGGAGACTGATGAACTTTTCACTTACTGCATTCATCCATAATTTTATTTAATACATTATTGTTATTATTACTTCGAGATTCGGTGATGTGCCGGTTATTAGCTTATTGCTACTGTGGAGACAAACTGAGCATGATAGTCTCCTTTTTTAAAAAAAATTAATTAATTTTTGGCTGCATTGGGTCTTCGTTGCTGCATGCTGGCTTTCTCTAGTTGCGGTGAGCAGTGTCTACTCTTCTTTGCAGCACGCGGGCTTCTCACTGCGGTGGCTTCTCTTGTTGCAGAGCATGGGCTCTAGGTTCTCAGGCTTCAGTAGTTATGGCACGCGGTCTTAGTTGCTTCATGGCATGTGGGGTCTTCCCGGACCAGGGTTCGAACCCGTGTCCCCCGCATTGGCAGGCAGATTCTTAACCACTGCGCCACCAGGGAAGTCCCCAGCATCATAGTCTCTTTACTGGGGTAGCTATGGCGGTTGCCCTGACTTTAAGACTAAGTAGA